TCGGCCCGGCAAGCAGCGCCCGCAGCTCCGCCTCGCTCTCCTTCAAGTCGTGCTTTCGCGTTTGCGCCCATTGCCGAAAGCCAGTAGTTGCCTCAAGCCCCGCCACCGGCAGCCATGGCGCCCGCCGTGCTCGGTCGCCATGGAAGTCACCTTCCTTTTCTTCTCCGGCCCGCCTTAGCTACCCCTACCGCATTCGCCATCTTCTACGACATCGCATGCGCCCGCTAGCTTCGCCTTGTCTCGTGGGAGATGGCCCCGACCTTAATGCCGAAACCCCACGCCGCTTGTGACGTCGCAAGCTTGTCGGCGTGGCCTCTGCCTCGGCCGGCCAAAGGGCCGAGTGGCCGTGGGCCGACGCTCGCCTTTGGCCGTCTTCCCCCCTCCCCTTGCGCTCGGGCTTGAAGAATAAAAAAGTGGCCGTGGGCGATGAAATCAATGAGGGTGGCCCGATGTGATTGAATGAATTGTTTTTCAATTTATTCTTTATTATTTGAAAATAGAAATGGTTTGAAAAATGTTTGGGTACTCAAATTTGCTCCAAATCTGTTGAAATAAATTTATCTAGGTTCCTTATCATCAGATCTACTTGGTAAAATTATTGCATGTCATTTTTGAGATACTTTGCTGTAGAATTTTATTTAATCATGTATATTGCTGATAACTTGAAAAATATGTAGAAAAATCTATAGGCTTCAGAGAAATATGATTTCTAAGTTTGTTAATTTTCTTATGTAATGTACTTCCTAGGAAAAATATGTTTCATGCATGTGTTGTGGGAAAATTTTGAGGTGTAGTTCAAGTACCTTTAATGGCTGAATTTTGTTATTTTAGCTAGAGAGCAAACATTGTATAAAACATACCTGTGATAATTTTTGTACAGTCATTGTATGCTATGAAGAACCTAGGAAAAATACTAACTCTATTGTTTGACACTTTTCATAGTTCAAAGTATTTTTATGATCATAATCCTGCCATAGCTTGTTATTTTTGTGTAGGCTAATCCACTCATTCAAATACCATGAAAATCTGATAGTAGACTATTTAGGGTATTAATGTGCTATGGTAATTTTCTAAGATTTTTCTAAGTAAGAAAAATAGAGGTTGTTATTCAAACCTATTATTAATTAGAGTTTAATTAAGGGTTGCTTTATGTGTGATTAAGAAATTAGTAAAGCTTTGAAGCATTTAATAAGATATGTTGACTTAACATATTAGTAGTAGAAGAGAATGCAGTAGATGACATGTGCTTGTAGTATATGTTCTTGGATGATGTTGACTACCTTGCATTTTAACATATCCCTTGTATTCATCTCATCCGATGCACCGATTGCATAAGCACTTACGCGTATTGCATCATATAGGATCGCAAACCGAGAACCCAGTCGTCATACCCGAGGAGCCAGAGGAGCAGCTCGAGGTGCAGCCGCAGGAAGTGCCCGAAGCCGACGAGGAGGACGTTGAGGAACTTCTGGAGTGCCCCGATCACCGTCCGAGCTCCTTCGAGAGAGGCAAGCCCCGGAGCATTTTTCTCCCGATTTGCAATGATTAATTAAATGCTTTACTTTAATTGATGCATTACGTTCAGGAGTTGTTTGCAACCGTTGCTGCATTATACCTTGTTTACCTTTGTTATACTATATCCTTGTTACCCGGGTATCCGAAGTCGAGTCAATGCTTAGCTGACTTAGACCGGTAGAAGTCGGGTGATTTCCTGTCACCTGCGAGCTATAGGTGGTTACCTGGATCTGCTTGGATGACTATGAAGTCATGGTATAACTAAGTGTTAAATGAAATTGAGACCGGACGGAGACTTGCAGAGTTTTGGACTGTAGTGTTTCCGTCTGTGTCGATTAAGGACCGACCGTTGTTGGGCCTCGAGTCATGTTGAACGCATGCCTTACATTTAGCTGGCCGGATAAAGTACCTTCCGACCACGAAGCTGGGAGATTATTCGGGCCGAGTAGATTGCCCGCAACGCACTGTGCCGGAGCAGGTGTGGTAGGACACGGGGGCGAGATGATAAGACCAAAGTGCAGTCGGTCGGCCCCGGGTACATGTGGTTCCTGGCAAACTCGAGATACCTAGAAAGTTGACTCGGTGATCAATATCTCACTTTAGCGGGTGATTGAGGTTTGTGTAAGGAATAAATCACCAGCTGGTTAGGAATCGATTCGAATCGCCATCGCTCCTGGATAGTGAGCACTTGACTTGAGTTACTTCATCGTAGTAAATGTTTATAGAACACTTGGACAGTTGTAGTGAATATGACAGTATGGAAATTGTTTAATGATCGTTGGTTATCATTATCTGCTTAATCATATGTTTGCTCTAGTTTAGGTGTAAATCTAGTCGACAGGTTAATAATAATTAACTTGACAATAATGCTTTTAGAAAGGTTCTTGAAATGCTAAAAATGCTTCTTTTGCAAATGAGTCAGCTACCCTACTATAAAGCCCTTCATAATCCTTGGTGTCATTTATTTTCGGTTATGTCGGGTAAGTCTAGCTGAGTACCTTCTCGTACTTAGGGTTTTATTCCCACTTGTTGCAGATGGGTAGATGTATTACGGCTACTGTATCAACTGCCTTTATCCTGCGATGGGTGATGCTTAGGACCATGGGCATGGTCATTCCTTACGTCTCGTCTAATGCTTTTGTTGGAGATGATCATTCGCTGGCACTATATTTGAACTCCGCGTGAGTGTGTGTGTGGTTTGAACAAATGGCTTCCGCTACTTTTATTCGAACTGGTTTTGTAATAACTATGTTGAAACTCTGATGTATCTGAGATTACGAACTTTTATGTAATATGTGATGGTGACCGCTAAACTTATTACGATCTTGGCTGAAATGGAAGTTGGTTTGAAATCCTTCGTGATTTCACGGACTACCGGGTTATACGGGCTTAAATTTGCTAAATCGTCTGCTCTGGCGGATGATTTTCTTACTTAATTTCGTATAATTGGTCGGTTCTGTTACATGTGGCGTGCATCCTGTGACCGGATGTTGACCCAGGTGCATCCGGTCACCCCGACCAGCGCGTCCAGTCAGCGCACAGCCAGCTGCTCCTTGAGCCCAACGGCTCTATTTCGTGGGGGCTTCTATATAAGCTCCATGACCAGCTCAAGCTCGCTCTCTTGGCCATTTACATTGATATAGCAACCTTGTGAGCTTAGCCAAAGCCCTCCCACTCATCTCCATCATTGATTCATCATCTTTGTGAATCTAAGTGCATTGCTTGAGTGATTGCATCTAGAGGCACTTGGTTATTGTGTTTCGCTGCGGGATTCGTTTGTTTCTCTTGATGGTTGCCGCCACCTAGACGGCTTGGTGCTGCGAGGATTGTCGGGCAGAGGAAGGTGCTTGTCTCCGGCTCCGATCATGGTGATTGTGAGGGTTTCTTGACCTTTCCCCAGTGGAAAGCCAAAAGATACTCTAATGGATTACTCGTAGCTTGTGCATCCCCATCTTATGTTGGTTGTGTGGCACCCGATTGTGGGTTAGGCGTGCCATGTCTATTAGCGCGTGAACCTCCAAGTGGGTGAATCATTACAACGAGGACGTAGCTTGCTGGCAAGCAAGTGAACCTCGAGGATAAATCATTGTGTCATCTTCTCCCGAGGATCTCTTTGGTTCTCTTGTGATTGATTGATCGATCATTGCTTGCCACGTCGGTATAATCTCACTACCTCACCCTAGCATTTACTTTCCTAGTGTTGCTAAGCTCTTTAGTGTTTTTAGTTTTGAGAGCTAGCTTGTGTCGGGTCTAGTGGTTAGTAAGGCTCTTTAGTTAGTTTTTGAGGGCTCACTAACTTAGTGGTGGTGACCAAGCATTGTGTGCTTAGAGACTATACTAACTAGAATTATGGTAGGTGGCTTGTATTTTTATTAGGCTAGTGTAAGAATTGCTTCGCCTCATATTTATCTAACCACTTTGCTTAGTGTTGTTGAAGAATTTTTTATAGACCATTCACCCCTCTCTAGCCATTAGGACCTTTCACAAGCGTTTGTTCAAAATGTTTTATCTGTTTTAGACGTATGTTTGCAAGTCTTTTGATATGGATGTTGCGTATGTTTCAACATATGTTGCAAGAGTATGTTTCAAATGTTTCGGTCTTATGTTGCAGCAAGTGTTTCATGTTGCAAGTTGTAAGTGTTTATTTGAAAGTTGCATATGTTGCAATAGCTAGACACGTATGTTGCAAGTGTATGTTTTAAATGTTTCAGTTGTTTTGAGAAGTATTCTGCAAGTGTTTTATCTGGATGTTGTATATTGCATTGGTTATACACATATGTTGCAAGCACATATTTTTAAATGTTTATTCTGTTTTAGACATATGTTACAATAAGTATTTCATGTTGCAAGTATTTTTATTAGCAGGCATGGAAAGCGAGCGCAGGCTGAGGCGGTTCCCATGTGCATGCGCAGCAGCATGGTATGCGTAGGCGTGCAGCAGCAGCAAGAGCGTGTAGCAGGAGCATGTGGGCGCATGTAGTAGGAGCATACGGGCACGTGCAGCGGGCAGGGGGCAGGCAGCAAGCAGCATGCGCAGCAGCCAGGGCGGCATGCTTAGGCACAGCAGACGCATGCAGGCGCGTGCAGCAGCATGTGCATCAGATAGGCAGGTGCGGGCGTCTCCGTTCATCCACGCCATATCTTATATTGTTTTTATTCCTACCGATATGATTTGCTCTGTTCATCGAAAATTCGCCATGTTAATTCGCCACGACGAAAGCAGAGATCCAGAGGCAAAAAAGAAGCCATTACACCGTACAGGTACAAACTGGATTAAATCTATCCTCCCGTCTCCACGCTTGGTCCCTAATCTATCCACAATGTAAAATAACAACAACAACAACAATAATTATTTATATCTATATCTATCCCTCATATACCAGTTGTTAGTAACTTTGTTTTAATAATAGCATAATACCACACTTGCGATCTTGCATGCATGGATCAATTCTCATCGATGAGAATGAGCTGGAGTATAGGACGTTTCAAAGCAGCAGCATCCTCATGTAGTCCTCAAGGACCGGGAGCCTCTGCTCCTTGTCATACATGTACATGACGCTGACCATCCTGGCGGCGTTCAGGCAGGCCTGCGCGAAGCACGACGAGAAGGTCCTCCTCGAGAAGCACTCCCGATTGAGCTCCTGCCACCCCTTCGCGATCAGCCTGTGCATGTGTTCTTCCACGTCGCCGGCGGTAGCAGCAGGGTGCTCCATCAGGTACAACTCCCTGTATGACCCATCCAATCCTTCCTGTGCTTCATCCTGCAAATTTTAAATCGTCCACCAAACAAGATGAGCTTATTTCAGCACGTAGTGATAGGTGATTTATCTCTCCTACTACTACTCTACTAGCTACTAATTCTTATAATTAAGTTATATGTACTAATTATCATATACTCTCAGAAAATAGATTTATGTTGAATTATGTTATTTCAAAAGGTATTACAATCGTTCTGACCTTGGCACTACCCATGTCATCCCAAAGTCTGAGGATTTTGGACGCGCTAGTGATGGCTGGAGGGATGCTGTCAGTGAGCTCTGCAGCATTACCACTCACTGCATGGTGATGCCCTAGAAGGAAGAGTATGTGCACAAATGCGAGCGGCACTCCTGAAGTGATGACACCATTTCTCAGGTACTCATCTGCGGAAGGGACCTGATCGGTTGCTAGCCATTTCGCCTCAACCATGAACCCATCAAACAGCACTGCCCACTGCAAAAAAAAGAGTAGTAATTGATTATTCTGTGGTTATTAACAATAATGGTAGAAGCAAATATTCTGAATCTTCTTCTCCATTCAGTACCCTCGTAATTAAGTTAGATTCAGTAACTAGGAATCATATATAGCTACATCTACAACATCTTTCTGAGAATCATATAGGTTGACAACATTTTTATATAATTGATTTTACCATCCAAATAAAATCCTGGAGATATTATATATGTGTGTGTAACTTACAGCTTTCCTGAGATGATCCACAGGGTTCAGTCCATGCTCTTTCTCAGCCATATCTGCCATCTCATTTGTAATTGTGTAAAGAGCTTTGTAGCATGATCTCATGAAACAAGGGAGTGAATCAGCAGCTTCCAAATCCCACCTACAAATTGTGTTACATTACTTTTTTTTTGTGCGAAGTAATAAGACAATTACCAATACATACATAAATTCAAATAAATTATATATCTGTACGTATCTCACAGATTGTATATGCATGTGGCATTGTTATTTAGCAGAGAAGCATGCATATCAAAGCTTACATTTTGATTGCCTCGGTGAAGAGGGAGAGCTCCTCCATGGTGCCAACAAGGTCAAATATGTCATCCACAACATAGGCAATCGAGATTATCTTTGTGATCTCAACCCTGTATCTGGAGAAGGAAGGTCCCTCGAGTATAGTCATGGACCATGTGTACCATTTGAGGACCTGGTCCCGGGCCACCGGTATTTCTTGAGCTAACCCTAGATTCATCCACCATCTGCATTGCATGGGTTGGGGTTTCTCTAACAATTAGAATTCATATATATATTTAGAGAGACTTTTTTTACTTGACTCTTAGAAAAAAAACAAAACAAGTAACCTCCAATTCTATTAAACTTATTAGCATGTCGATTAGTTAACAAGATAAGAAGTCATCAGGTCAATATATAATCAACAATGTGCATATATAGTACAAGACAAAACACGCATGATGGCTTATCTATGCATAATGTACCTTTTGATCTCTTTCATTTCCATCTGATGCAGCATTTTGTTAAGCTGGAACTCTGCAACTGCTGGAACTCTGCAACTGCTAACTCCTCCATTGCAGCAGTGCTCCTACTGGGCAGGCTCTGCAGGTAGCTGAGGTGGTGCCTTGCCTTGTACTGCATCAGGCTCAGGTGGTAGGGGTGGTCCAGTGACTGCCTCACATACCTCGCAAGGCCTGGCACCAGGTTGCTGATGGAAGAGGCGAGGTGTTTGGCTGAGAACTCCTTTGCCTTGTGGAGTGCTGCTTCTTCTCCGATGTCCAAGTGCGACATGTCATGCAGGCTTAGGAGCCCCATGGTGTCCTTGCTGAGAGTTAGGCTGAACTCGCCGGCACCGTTGGTGAACCTACCAATAACGTCATCTGCATTCATGCAGATCCAGAGGGGTCATACAACCATGAACAACAGTATATTTTCTTCCCAATATATACTGAGGTCTATCACGGTTTTTCGTTTTTTAGAAAATATTTTTTTTTGAGGAAAACAGGAGAGGCTGCCCCCTACGGCCCTACTGAACTTTATTGAAGTTTTTTTTAGCCAATATTGCTTTGGTAATGTATATCTAGAGTCATGCCATCTCTATGTAAAACTATAATTTCTGGTTTACTGCCATTGCCGTACTAGTTTCAGTGGGTTTATATATGCACACCTAGAGGGATTCCAGGCGACGGCGACGCGCCCACGCCCACTCGCCCGCACCTATCTTCCTTCTCTCCGGCGTGACTTCCTTCTCCCTGCGCGTGTCTTCCTTCTCTTCGGCGGCGGCGGCGGCGCGTCTTCCTTCTCCCCAACTTTGGCGACCTTAGAAAAAGGAGGGGCCCGGGGGAGGCAGGTCGGCCGGCCAGGCGGTGGGGATGGCGGGAGGGCGGCAAGGGTTCTGGCGGTAGAGGAGGCGGCTGAGCCAGGTCGGGGTAGAGGCGAGGATGGCCATGGCGGTGGCGGGTGGGGGGAGGGGTAGAAGGAGGCTGCCATAGGGCGAGACCCTACTGCGCCACGACGGGGCAGGGGCAAGGTCAAGCGACGTTGTTGCTGAAGATGGGATGAAGAAGAAGAATAGTGACTGTCCTGAGGTAGATGACAACACAATGACCATCGGATGTTCATCCTACGGTGGAAATTCTTATATATGCCTATGTTTTCGACAGAGTCTATTATTGCCTATGTTGTCTACTTTTTTTGAAAGGTCAGCAGGGGAGGCCCCTACTTGTATATTTTTGTATATGCCTATGTTGTGTACTGAGACAGTGCAAATACAGAACTGCACATGTGGAAAACATTAGCTTGTATCTTTTGAATTTTTCGATGGGGTCTCTACACCATATATATACTTATTAATAATATTACCGACCTGCTGAGACATGATGTCCTGTCTCTCTCATGAGCCTGAATGAGAGGGTTGCATCGAGGAGGTCGTCGCTGTGGAGGAGATCCATGCATTTGCTGCTCATGGCGCTCTCGATCTCTTCCTCGAAGTAGTGGTCGATGCAGAGGCGCTTCAGGTTGTCGACGGTGGCCATCGATATCGTCTCCCGGCCGCTCCTTCCACATCCATCAAGATGAAGAGTCTTCCGTACACTCGCGATGCCTTTCTGGTGTGTCAGTGGTGGAGAGTGAGCACACGTTTATTATATGTTTCCAAATCAAATGATGGTGAGACTCTCTCTCTTTTTCTTCTTTGAAAAATCAAAATGATGGTGACACTGTTGGACCTACGACTTGATGCTGACGCGTGCACATGCATGCTCGGCCGATCCCTTGGTCACAAATACTTGACACATTTCATTTTGCATGATCTTCGATATGCGTCTCGAGCCACTTGTGTTTTCTAAGATATATCCTTAAAATATTTTAAATATATATGATAGATTTTGCAAGCAATTTGATTATATATATATATATAATACATTTCGATGGTAAATAATAGAGTGTAGTACTTCCTCTGTCTAAAAAAATGATGTTCTAGGATTTCTCATACATATTAATGGTGAAGAGAAAGGACTCTAGTACCCCTGTTTTGTTACGGGAGATTTCCTTAAAAGAAGTGATGTTATGGCTAAATTTTCCAATTAATATAAAGTGCGTTGCTTGGAGATATGCAGAGAGAGTACATGTCCAATATGTAGAACAACAAATTTTTTAGGACATTTTTGAATTACAGAACATCAATGTTCTTTCGGACGGAGGGTGTAGCTATTGATGCTCATAGTTTTTAAGGTTTAGCCAAAACTAGCTTGTCCTAAACATCGTTTCATGAAAGAAAACAGTTTTCCTAAACAACAAAAAAAAAATTTGTGACGGGAGGGAGTATTAGTTAACCAATATAAGTCACTTGTCTAGTGAAAATTAATGGCGGACCCAGAAAAACTTCTCTCTGCATCAGCTCTACGCATGGTGGCATGACAGTGTCAGTATTAGTACGTATATAAATCATGCATGCACTCTATCTAGTGACTCTGTTACTGTTGTGTGTATATACGTGAGCTCTACCTGGAGCTGGACGTCAAGGTCGCTAGTAGTAGGCAGCGGCGTTTTGGTCGCCGCCGGCGAAGGGCGGCTCCGGCTGCCGAGGCGACCACAGCCTCGCCTACCATCCCCGACCGCCGCCGGCGTAGCGGCGGGAAGGAGAAGAGGCTGCACGGCGGTGGGGAAGACATGTGCAGGGGCAGCACCCATTGCCATACCTACCTGTCTGTAAATGATTGAACTACGAATACTCAAATATGAAACAAGGGGCAACGAGCCAACGACCCGGCGCTAATATATATATATATATATATATGTGTGTGTGTGTGTGTGTGTGTGTGTGTCCATCAGATTCTGGCACTGGCACCGGTTGAAAACAGCCTCCTAGATTCCTAATACAACGTGAATCACGAGAGCCATATGTTACGTTTGCAGTTTGAAGAGACCGTGATGATAGTCCCATGATTTCCAGCTGCTCTGATGGGTGGCTGAGGCCCAGTGCCGTCGGTGAGGCTATTTATCTTTTTTATAAAAAAAAAGAAGAGAATTGGTGTGAGAGCTGACCGACGGGAGCATTCATCGTCTCGTTCCTTATCCACACGGCTGCGCCCGCCTTCCATTCCAAGGGCCTGTTTGGAACCAATTATCGGATTCCTGGGCGCTCCACCGCGAGAATCAGGAAAATTCCACCAAACGTCTCGCGGTGCCCATGATTCTCGCGACCGCCCATGACAGAAAAAAAAAACTGAAAATGAACTACACTTCCGATTCCTCGTATCACGGCCACGGAGCCGCGGATGAGATACTACACCGCGTGGTCGCAAATCGCGGTTCCAAACAGGGCCTTAGAAGGTTGTTGGGCCCTGCATGGTAGTCCCCTAACGTGAATATCTCATGTGGATTGGTAACATGAATCTCTATCTGCTTTACCTTGTATTACAGCACGAAGTGGTTTCTTTTAACATGTAATACTACTAAAGCAGAGCCTCCAAAAGTGGTTGTACAAACTACACACATTGTTTTTATATGATGGAAATAACATCCGCCTTCATTCTCTAATAAGATGACGAATCAGATCAGCTTATCGCAGTTTATAACTCCACAACGACCGGAAAAATTTTAAAAACAAAACCCACTCAAAACTCAATTCTGGAAATAGAAGGCCATCATAAGATGTGAAGAAACTCATTGCCATGTTTTCCCGCTTGCAACATGCCTTCAACACTAGTTCCTTCTATGTCTTACACCGTTACAACAGGGCCTGAAACTAAAGTCAATGTGTTCCTCTTAATTAATAAAATCCGCTGTTGGAAAATCCTCCTCATGAGTGGGTGTTGAGGAGAGTAAATGCTCCTAGTGAGCAGGCCCACACGTCATAGGTGCAGCACATGAAATGGACCAACCTTGCATCTAGTGTTTTGCCTCTTGGCTTACAAGAAAAGGAAAGGGAAGCTTCGTGAGTCTCAGTTCATCAGAGAGAGAATAGAGCAGCTCCAGTTCAGCCTCTTGTGCTCCTTGCGTGTGAGAGAGGGAAGAAACCCAGAGAAAGAAAAGAGAGGGAGAAGAGTGATATTAGAGAGGAGATCTTGCAATAGATTAAGAAGGGTTCGTACTCAATGTTGTGAAGCTTCAAATCCACATCCTTGGTACCTCTAATCTAAGTTCCACTATCATTTGGTGAGGTCTTTCCACCCTAAGTAAAGCCCCAAACCTTATTATTGTTATCCAAGATCTGCGTATCTTGATATATGATTGCCTCTAGTGCTATCTAGAGATGAACTTGTTGTAATCCCACAAGCAAATAGTGGAAGAAGATTTGGCTGGCTTTGTCTCGTGGTTTTTACCCCGATTTAGGGGTTTTCCACGTTAAATCTGGTGTCTTATTGTTGTGCGAGTTTGGCTGCAACTAGTTGCGACTGTAGTTGCAAGTGATTTGCCGCAACTAGCTGTGCTTGTTGTTGGTGTTGTGTTGTGATCCAGTTGCAACTACGGTTGATGTGAACATAGCTGATTGGAACCAGTTGTGATTGCTGCTATTTCCTCCATATATATGTGATGCATATGTTTCCTTCCGTGAGTAGGTGACGATCTAGGCTGATTTTGCATTGTGATGAAATTAAGCGCTTCCACTGTCACTAGCAAGTGTGTTAGTGTAGTTATCCCAACATAAACTGGTATCAGAGCCGAGGTTAATTGTTGGAGGTGATATTCCTCACTTTGGCAATGGAGGACAACAACACTCCAAGTGGCATGATCAAGCTTGATGCTATAAATTAT